AAGAGTAGTATAATATAAAAATAGTATTTATATTTAATGATTTTTACATTATAATSTATATTAAATGTGAATGTCAAATGACAATATAAATATTATGTCAAAAGGTAGTAGTGGCGTCGAACCCTATGTTAAGGTCGGGCTATGGCCCGACATATTTGGAAAATTTAAGATAGGGCCGCTTCATATTGACCATTTTCCTCTACGTGGTATGCCATTTTTTTTTGATATTAAGATGTTGGGCCTCTTGAAATATTTTTCACCCCACTAGATTTTTAGGACTTCGTTGCCACTGAAAGGTAGTATAATATAAAAATAATATTTAGCTGTAATAGTTTTTACTTATTATAGTCAACTTTATTGTCATGACAAATTTTATTAGAAATGTTAAAAATATTATTTGGTAATATTATCTGGGGAATCATGGGTATACATCGATAATATTTTATCATTATATATATTTCTTAATCGTGATATATAAGTTATTAGAGTTAAGATATTTGAGTTAATCATTTAAAGATATTTCACTAAGATATTGACATAATTCTATATTACTCTATTTTTATTTTTATTTTTTATTAGCTAATTATCTAAAAATCATTACATCTAAATACTATTTTTATATTATACTACTCTTTAAAATTTTTCGACTTTTTGATATTTATATTGTACACATTTTTACATGCAGTTTGATGATAGAATGATATTATTGATTATTTAGTTTATAATTATTATTATTAWACCATATTTTATAACAATATTATTTTTATTTTTTCTATTTTWATTAATTAACACTATACATAACTACTAGTTACCACGTATGYATAAGACATATATTTATAATATATACTTTATGCATATAATAGTACAAAGTGTCCGCGTTCTGCAATGTACCTTTTTACCAGACCGTACTAAGTGACCGCGTTTCGCACTTTTAATGCCTGACCGTACAAAGTGACCTRGAAACCAACAAAATACTYTCCTTYTTTATTGTCACACAAGCCGAATATCCATGGTCCATCAAATCGTTTTCATAGTTTTTTGCTCCGTTTTCTAAAGGATTAATATTTTCCAAGTCCGAGTCGTYGTCAACGTTAAGATTTTTGGCTGGTAAATCTGCAAGTCAAAACTGACCTTTATTATTTTTCCTCGATCCTCGTAATAAACATTCGTCAACTTCGATAACTATTCCGAGTCCTCCCAATTTAGAACGATTTTCGAACATTCTGACAGGTACATTACGGCACAAGTTCATCCAGTCACACACTTTATTATGTGATATACCGGTTAAACTTATAATTGTAATCTGTTTAATATTTTGACACCAATCATAGACCAGTTCAAGTTGTGCACCAATGCTCAATCCACTAT